AGAGCCCAAGGTCAAGGAAACTGAGATGGGCACAGTAGGCCTTGCCCCTATATGGGCTGTCGCGCCGCTGAGTTTTTAATTAGCCTATCCAGTAAGCAGATGTTAATGTTAAGGTCCGTATACCTTTGTAATTTTGAACCAAATTTAGAAAACAAGTAAACTTGTATAAGAGACTAGTTATTGTGGGTATTTTATCAACGGAATGAACCTGCGGTGCATGGAGAAGGAAACCTCAAAAAGCTTTTACGGTCTGCCTGGCGGTAATAGGGATTCTAATGCACGATCCATCTACAACTGAGAACGTTTTGCAACAGCACTGTGGTCTGCTAGGTGCCAACTGGTACAATCATTGAAAAGAATGTTTTTGTAGTGATTGGCAACATTTAGATTTTGACTTTTAAACCTTAAATCATATTCATATTTTTTTTACTTACTATTCAAACGTATGTATATAACGTATATTAGTTGAGTAATTATGCTTTCAAGTGTTCCCGGGTGTGGAATTTGAATCGACCAGCCATCACTGGGATTCGAACCCGGTTCATCTCATTGGAAGGCGAACGCTCTATCCTCTGAGTCACGTAAATCTTACATGTAATTGTAACCACGTAATTGATATTTCTTTTTGTAACCTAAAACTTTGCTTTAAGAAAGCACTGTACTAGGACTGCAATTACAAATTTAAATATTTATATAATTAGTGTATTATTGTTGACAGAACTATTTCGTTTTTACAAAATAAGACTTTATTATGAAGTCCTTGCGCTATCACTTTGTTTTAGGAAAAAAATTTTTTAAATGACGCTAGGCATAAAATGGGTTAAATGAAGAAATAAATTATGAATTATCTTTGTTTCGGTTTAAAGGTGATAGTTATATTTTATATTGTTATTATCCGTTCTTTCTCGAAACATTTTGTAACAGCATGATTAACACGTGCCTTGGTAAGAACAGTAAATTTATTTTAATTGCACTGATAGAAATAATCCGTTATTTTTAATTAGTTACGGGAAATTATATGCCTCAAATAAATTTTATTACGATTTTAACCTTGGAAACTACCGCCTGGAACAAGTTTATGTCTTCACGGCGAATCAAAATTTTGTTTCCCCATCGTTCACCCGAAATAAATTATGTCATATTTACTGATTTATTAAACAGTAGTTAATATTTGCATATATATAGTTATTATTTTTTTTTCAAAGTTGAAGTGAACGACTATACCTGAAAAAATATCCTACTCTGACAAGCTGATTTTTGAAATATACTTGATTAAAAACTTAAGAAACTATGAAAACAGTAATAAAAAATCAATGTATTCCCAGAGCTAAAAAAATAGGCTCCCATTCTCTAGACTTGCCAGACGTGCTTTTTTAAAAAGGGAGAGAGATCAACGGTATCGGATGACAAATCAGCGATGCTGTTTGTTTTTTTAAAATTAATTAATAATTTAATTATTTTGTCTAGATTTTTTTCCTTTTTCTGTTTAAATTCTCATTTGTTGTTAAATTAAGTAAAATAAAATTAATTAACAGATACCTTATTTACACTAAGATAAGTTTAAATAATTTTGATTGCCATTCGAGTGAGTTTATTTAGG